ATTGTCCTCAAACCCTTCTCTGAGTTTTCTCTGTTACACTCATAACTCTCAGCCAATACAAACTTTTCCAGCCTTCATGTTCTTATCTAACAAGAGAAAAAGTTTGATATAGATCATCGAACCCTGAGCCAATCACAGCTCAGCGCTGCTTAAGCTGATGTGTTCCAACTAATAGAGAGTTTCCACAACGACGTGACCTGAGGCCTGTACTACGAAGCTGGATTTGGTCTTAGCGAGATAACTTCTGGATAACTTCTGGGTTTTCCGTACTACGAAGGTGGATCTCTTTTTATCCGGGTCCGTTGCCCCGGTAACTTACGCGGAACGCCAAACCTGCTCCGGAGCAGGTTATGTTTCAGGATAAGAGCTCAGCAGGTATTAAAGACCGCCCAATGACCAATCGGATCTCTTGGAAAATGGCTTGCCCACTTTTGCCGGATCCCGGGGACATCGTTGCACGGATAGTGAGAGGAGCGCTTCGCCGAGAGCGTTATATTCATGATCGTTCAAATCCGTTTGATTTACCTGATGACGTTCTCTATGAACGCTACAGGTTTTCCTCGGACGGCCTCAATATTCAGGTAGCATGAAGTCTAAGCAATACACTGATACTTGCCAAGCTCCAGGTTCAAATTTGTTAGTCATCATTCAGAATTCATTGAAGCAGATTAGAAAACTCTTAACCCCAAATGTGTCTGCAGATGACGTGAGCATCAGATGATGGAGAAAAAAAAAGGCAGTGTGAGGAAATCACTGTTTACGCGTTGAAGTATGTACAAATAAAATCTTCCAATAAACTTACAAACTACTTTAAAGGATGTTTTTAGATTTATTTTCATTTGCTCCCACGTACTCTTTTCCCCACTGCTGTTGTATCTGAAATAATGAGGTCAGTGATGGTGGTGATCACACACGCTGCATGACAATATATTAGGGGGCCATACATTTATGAACGCACAAATGTAATTTACACAACCGGTGATTTTTTTTGCCGGCAGTCCCTCTGGCTTTTAGCGGCTTTGTCTGTCTCACGGTTTAAATAAAGCTCTGTTCTTCAGCTGTGAAAAATGACGTGCAGCCTTCTCCATTGTGGAGATTGGTCCGGTGGCACTGACCCGACCCCCTTTACGTGTGCGCGCACAGATCTGAACTGGATTCAGTTATCGAGTTGATATCCTGCTTCGTAGTACAGCTGATCGGGATCGCGGAGATCCGGTGAAGTTGAGCGAGTTGTCGCAGAGTTATCCTGGATTTGTTAATCCAGCTTCGTAGTACAGGCCTCCGAAGTCAGACTGAAGGCAGAGACTAAAACACGCAAAAGGCCACACAAGTCTCCTTTTGTGGTTTTGGATTGTCTCCTGGTTTTTGTTTGAGGTCTGTGGTTTTGGCTTATCTCCCTGTTTTTTGTTTGAGGTATAGAATAGAATAGAATACAATATTCTTTTATTGATCCCCCATGGAGGAAATTTTTTTGCCACAGCAGCATCACAGACAAAGGTAGTGCAAAATGCAGTTATAAAAATAAAGATCGTAATATTAAGAAACTAAATAAATGTCATAATTAAGAAAACATTTAGAAAAAGGAAAAAAGGGAGAAGGAAAAAAAAATAATAATAAAATAAAGTAAGTTAAAATAAAATAAAACTATATACAATATACACAATTTAAGTACCAGAAAAAAAGTGGTGGTGTAAATCCAGTTATTATTACAGTTCATTGTAAAGTCTTATTGCAGAAGGGAGGAATGACCTGCGGTAGCGCTCCATCTTGCACGGTGGAAGTGTCAGTCTGCTGCTGAAGGAGCTGCTTAAAGCCCCCACAGTCTGGTGCAGTGGGTGAGAGGGATTGTCCATGATGGATACAAGCTTTGCTAACATCCTCCTCTCACCCACCTCCTCCAGGGAGTCCAAAGAACAGTCCAGGACAGAACTGGCCCTCCTGACCAGTCTGTTCAGTCTCTTCCTGTCCCTCTCGGTGCTCCCTGCCCCCCAGCAGACCACTGCATAGAAACGTGCAGATGCTACCACAGAGTCATAGAAAGTCCTGAGCAGAGTCCTGTACACTCCAAAGGACCTCAGTCTCCTCAGCAGGTGGAGATGACTTTGGCCCTTCTTGTACAGGACGTCTGTGTTTGTTGACCAGTCCAGTTTATTGTTGAGATGGACACCCAGGAATCTGTAGGACTCCACCATCTTGATGTCCAGACCCTGGATGTTCACTGGAACAGTCTGAGGTGTCCTCCTCCTGCGGAAATCCACGCCCATCTCCTTGGATTTCCACAGGAGGAGGACACCTCAGTTTGAGGTATGTGGTTTTGGATAATCTCCTGGTTTTTGTTTGAGGTCTGTGGTTTTGGATTATCTACTAGTTTTTGTTTGAGAGTCCGTGGTTTTGGATTATCTCCCTGGTTTTTGTTTGAGGTCTGTGGTTTTGGATAGGTTTCTTCATCAGTATTTAAAGCAGGCTTCACACCGCCTGCCTTACTTGAGGCATCCATTGCCATCAAACCAGAGGTTTATCACTTTTTCTCTGCATCAGCTGACTTTCTATGTCCTGGATGAATGAAGAAGATGCCTCTGCACCTAATATTATCTGTGCAAAATCCAATGAACCTGATCCTTGTGTCCTTCTCCATACCTGAGCCAAGACCTCATAACTGGACAAAACCCGGAGACACTTGAGCACAAATCCTTTATTGTTTTATTTTGCTAAATTTACCAGGACATGATTTCACTCACGGCTGAGGTTTTGTTTTTTCCTTGACATTGTTTCATCTCAGAAAGAGTTCAACACAATGACTGGTTCAGGACCAGGTCCGCCGTGTCTCTTCTTTACATCACTGCAGGACTTTAAACCAGAAAATCACCCCTGCTAGTTCATCTCTGCAGACATTAGCGGTGTGTGTAGTTTGAACCCAGCATAATAAACCAGCCGGCTCTGAGCTTGTTTGAATCATATTTGATCAGACGCCATGACTCTACTGCTCACCTTTCTTGGCCTGCAGCTTTATTCTGTTACAGAAACTCACCGCAGACACTCAAGGCTGAGTCCAATCAAAGCATAAGACGGATCTTCTTCAGATCCACATTAATCCAGTTCTGTGGTCAGCAGTGTTTGTATGAGCGGGTTTTAAATTATAATAAACCACTACTTAACCAGTGTGGTTAAATAAAAAACTGGAGGCAGTTTGGAAACTCCTGTATCTAAACCAGATCTTTTTCAGAATTTCTGTTTGATGGATGTTCTATTTGGTCCACACCTCAGGCCGTGTGGCAGAGATGTTTGTTATCCTCCTGTTGTAGATTCATAAATCTCGTTCTTAGCATTCTCTGCAAATATGTGATTTAGGTTTGGGACAGTTTGATTTATACTGCCATCTCTGAAAGGTTAGAGGTGCTCAATAAAAAACACTATTAATAATTTAATCTGCTCTGGATTTTTTGCTGCCTGCTGCTGCAGCTCAGTGTTTCTGTGTGCATCTGTAAACTGAATGTTTGCTGTGCAGGACGACTAGCCAGGCATCATCTTCAGGGAGAGGAACGGTGCATCACTTCTGGACCAAATCCATTAGAAATAATCACACATCAAGTTCTTTATTTTTATCAACCCTTCATAAATCTCAATGCTGCTTTTTTAATCATTACCAGATGATGTGAAGTATGCACACAGGGTCTGTTATGTGGCTTTAAGCTTGCTGTTTTTGAGTGGTTTCTTCAGAAGCTGCTGCTGCAGGAAGCCTAATTTTTCTAGAGGAACTTGTATAAATAAATGCTGAAATATGAACAAAGAACCTCCACAAATTCACTCATGTTAGTCAGAGGAGCATCTTTTCCAGTCTGGTAGTCGGTACTGAGCACAACCTTGTATTTTTTAGATTATTTGGCATATGGGACAATGCCCAGAAGGCTCCAACACCACAAACACGACCCAGAGTTTAAGTTCAGTGACTGGAGAAGCTCCAGTCCGTGTCTAAAACCTGTAATTCAAAATCTGAAATATGAAATTTTGTACCGTTGTGATCTACAGAAAAAAAGACCTAAAAAGACAAAAACTGGTTTTGTGCAAACATGTTTATTTCCGCTACACATTTTAACATTTAACATTAGACTCAATGGGGATTGACCCAGTATTGGAGACAACTTCTAGTGGACATTTTGTGAACTGCAGTTTTTGGGACCTCTGCATGGACTGCCTCCAAACTGCAGGAGATGATCAACAGAACCAAAAATGACCATCTGAAGTGTCTCCGAGTGATACTGTGATCCCCGGTAGAAAACAATAAACTCAGTCTTGGGATCCAGGGCTGGTGTGAGGACTGCCTTTGTTGATCTGGTAAAGCTGCCCCCTGCAGGTCTGCAGGAAGAACATTTGTGTTGGTCTCTCTTCAAAAACTAAAAGGCTACTTTGACTTTTAATGAAGAATCCTCTGAAGGGTCTTTGTCTCTCCGTCTAGACTCGGTATAATGTCTTCATTATAGATTTCATGCTGTGGTTGAAATACTTGAGCAGCCTCTCATTTCCATCTGTCTAAAGCACCTCAGGGTTGTGTGGCTTTTTACATGTAAGTGTATACGACACACACACATCCGTAGATGGAGTTAGTTTTCCAAACACACATTAATGCACACCTTAGGTGGCCCGTGTTCAAACTTAATGTTAGTCGTGATTAGTCCCCGCCCCTGATGGCTCTCTGATGTTTGCTGTCTGTGTGGGCCTGTAGCCGCACATATGCTCTGCATGTGAGTCTGTATGTGGCTCTTGTTTAAGTCTCTGCCCCCACTGGTGTGCTCAGGTATAACCAGCAGGATGGTTGGTGCATTGCTAAAGCACAAATCTATGATGTAGTTAAAATGGTGCGCTATAACATCTGTAGATACTGGACTTAAACTCAGACCTGTTGACCTTGTGGACTCATCCAGACTGCAATTTTTAATCCGCTGGTTTTCATAATAACTTTGATGAACATGAGTTAGTCCCAGAGACAAGTACAATATGTTTGAATGCATTTAGTCAGTCACCCAACAGTTCAGGGTCTCCTTTGTCAATGGAGGACAAGTCAGGACTGCATCAGTCCAGTTTCTCAGCAGGACTCTTCTACTACAGAGCCATGCTGGTGTAATCCCTGTTGTCAGAATGTGGTTCGGAATCATATGAAGGTCTTCCCTGAACAAGTCTTTGTCTGGATGGCAGCAGATGTTGCTCCTAAACCTGGAGATATTGTTTTAAACTTAGGATGCAGCCTCTATGATTTTCAGTTCTTTGTTGAAGGACAACTGGACTTACTTGGGACATTTCGCCTTAGCAAAATGTCCCAAGTAAGTTCAGTTGTCCTTTCCAAGAGCGTTAGATTTTGATTCATCAGACCTCAGGACAGTTCGCGGACAAGTGATATTAAGCCCATGTGGTGACTCCAACTACAGAGTCCTGATGCTCCAAAACCTGGAGATATTGTTCAGCATTAATGGAGCCTTCACAGATGTGGGAGATACCCATGACATGGACTCTGATGATACCTTTACCATCAGGGATGCTAGATTTGGACTGGGAGCTGGGGTCAAGCTGGGGGAGTCCATCATTACCAGAAAGAGAGTCCGCTCCACCTAGGTCCATTTCAGGTTTGCCTTTCCCTTTGGCTTGACCGATCACAGCCTCTCTACCCTAAACTGCTGACAGCGCCTCTGATTTAACATGGACATTAAGACAATGCACTGGACTTTGGTTTGTCTGTTGGAGAATAAACCAGGAGAGACTAAAACAGACTAGAGGGGAGTGTTTGGACTCTGCATAATAGATTTGTAATAAATAAGTGATGATGTACAGGTGAGGAAGAGACAAAGACTGATGTCCTGAGTCCAGCTTGGACAAACACGGCCTCATGTTAATTAGACATTGATTTCTACATCACTAAATAATGTAAATATTCATTAGCTGTCAGCACAGAAATACATAACGGAGGATGGGGCCGGGGGGTGGGGGTGGGGGTGTTGGGAGGCTGGAGGACAAGATAAGTCTTTGTCTTGGATTTCCGCACATGTCCAATGAGACAGAGAAAACCAGCACAGTGCTGAGTAACTGAGAAAACCTACAGCTTTGAAATAAACATCATCGATGTGTGAAGAGCTCAGAGATGGAGTAGGTTTCTTTTTTACAGTAGAATTCAAAGGTCTGCATGAACTTAAGTAACTTCAGTAATGGTCTACACTGTCTCTATTCAAGAATCAAACACTCTTCTCCTCCAGCTGACAGATCTGAGAGAGCACAACTTCACAGGACCGATATATCAGCAGCTTTTGGACCTGTTTACTGCACTTTAGTTCTGATTATCGGGGCAGTCATAAGCTGTAGTTAGCCAGATTTTGGCAATCATGTGACCTGTAGTCATGGTAACACAGAACAGCAGTAGGGAAATGAGCCAAGAATACCAACCTGGATTTGTGTATTTATGATGTAAAGTTGGACTCTATGGGGACTGAGTCACTTCTAGTAGACATTTTGGGAACTGTAGTTTTTGGGACTTCTGCAGCAGCTTCATGGAAATCAAAAGTCCCCCATACTTGGTTTAATTAAACTTTTCTGATGCACACTTCCCTCACAAACCTCCAACTTTGGTCCACAAAAGAAAATGCACCGCCCAGTTTTTATGATTTCATTTACTTTGGGGTAATAAAGCTCAGCTGGGTGAGTCCAAGTAACATAAACTCAGACTTTAGTGAGCCTCCCTCTTGTCTCTCAGTAAAGTAAACAGCTGGCGTGGATGCTGGCGGATGGATTGGACCGTTTTCACCACTAAAACCTCCCATCTGTCTGAGGTGGATTTCAGTCATATGCCCACTTCGGCAGGTTGAGACCAGCCTCCTACCAATAAAGCTCCTGGAGTTTCATGGAGCTTCTCTGGTTTAAGGAAAAGCAAGGCAGCGTGAGGGGAGGCGGGGCCAGAGAGGAGGACAGTCTTTATGAGAGGCAGAGCGAGGGGAGGCAAGGCCAGAGAGGAGGACAGTCTTTGGCTGTGTCCGAAATGGATCCCTAATTCTTATACAGGCAACTATATGGGGGTTAGCGCCATTTTGAGGGGTGCCCGAGACCTGAGTGACCAATTCCAATGCCCCATATAGGCGACTCAAAATTTCCCATAAAGCATTGCAAAATGTAGTGAACATCCAATGGTCACTCACCAGTGGTGGGCATCCCATCATGCATTGTGTCTCCAGCGGCAATTCAAAGATGGAGGTACGCCATGTAGTGTCCGAAATCTCCAGTGATTTCGCTCACTACATAGTCAGCTATATAGTGAAACCCCATATGGGGGTTAGGCGTTAGGGATTGAGTAATTCATTTCGGACACAGCCTTTATGAGAGACAGAGCGAGGGGAGGCGGAACCAGAGAGGAGGACAGTCTTTCTGATCGCAGGGATTCTGCGTTTACCTTTTCAAAATATGATTTTCAGGAAATTTGAATCAAATTTTAAAACTGTTACACAGGTTTTCACCAAACACCCAAATATCTGCCTTCATTTTTCACTACCAGAGGTTTCTGTTTGGCTTTGGAGTGTACTTTTTAAAGTTTGAAAGGATTTACATCTAAATGTATGAACTCTGTCAGGAAAATGTATTGTGTCCAAAACTATGAGGAAGACTCGGACAGAAAGCAAACACATTTCCAATGACTTCTGCTAATTTGGGTGTTTTTCTGTCATTGAAGAAACTCCCACTGAAAAACAAACACAATCCATGAAAACTCATCAAGTTTTCTATGTGCTGGTGAAATTCAACATTTTACAGCTGATCATCTTTGAACAGACTCCATGTGTGTCTACTAAGGGTGTGGAAAATAATCTAAATTAATCGATGCGCATGTGCGTGATGCGACTGCGTCGGCTCATTCACTGGGTATCGATGCAATTGACGGGTTAAATCTAGATTCATCTAGATGCGTTGGTGGGTATCGGTAAAATCCGATGCAAGCGCCGTTTTATTCATGTTAAACTTCACCCAATCTGCTGTTCCCCAGGCGCATTGAATGCACCATCATTATTTCACGTTTTGTATTGAATAGGGACGGAAGCCGTGAGGGACATACAATGCACTACTAGTAAAACAGCATGGATCACATTCAAGTGAGCAGCAGCGAGGAAGAGTTTATATGTAATGCACCCGCTACGTTTAAATCATATGTTTGGAAACACTACGGATTTGCAAAGAAAGACGGAAAGCTCGACAAAAGGTCCGTCATTTGCAAAGAATGCCGCGTTAAGAAGCCGTACAACGGCAGCACGACAAACATGCAGACCCACTTAAAAAGATTACACCACATCACCGACAAGTCTAACGCCACCTCCCCTCCCTTAACATTGATTGCACTGTTGAAAGTGTTACTTTAGGTCACTCATTGAGAGTGTTTTGTTGTTGCTGTTTACTGTACTTTTTACAACAGTAATTATTGTGTAATTGTTTTACTCTTTTATTATTGCAGAACTCACTCAAATCACTGATTTTCAGTGGCCAGTTAGAAAGTCAACTCTAGCGCATTGGTTTGGCAGACAGTAGTATGGCCATTGAATGGTTTACTTGCACCATGTTAGGCAGTGCATTAGTTGTTTAATAATGTGTTCTGTAATATTACCCAACAAGTATAGAGCACTTGTGTGATGTAGGGTTGGGACTGGAATCCATTTTTTTTTTTTTTTTTTTTTTTGATTTTATTGATTCAGATTCCTTAACAGTTGCAGGAGGTCTGTCTAATCTGCGTAACTGTACAAAATGGAACCCAAAGGAGCATAGAAAAAAGACAAAAAGCACTTTTGTTGAATTAACTGCCAAGTGCCTTTAAGGAATAAAGCCAAATCCTTTTTGTAGTACCATACTGAATTCCATCTTTTATTTTTATTTCTTTTTTTTCTTTGCTTATTTGCATCATGTTGAATTGCATCATATCGCAACAAATTGCATCATATCGTATCGGATCGCATTGATTTGAACTAAATGATTATCGTATCGTATCGCATCACGAAGAGGGTGAATCGTATCGCATCGTATCGCCAGAAAATGCCATGTATCGTTAATCGTATCGCTGGCAGTGCATCGAGATGCGTATCGAATCGTCCTCAGTGCTGAGATTCACACCCCTAGTGTCTACATGCAAGTTTTCTACTGATGATAAAGACCATCAAACGATGGCTAAGGTCTCAGATCTGCAGCTCAGGTCTGCAGCTGGTCCGTCATAGAGCCGGTTCTGTTAAATGTTTCAGAGTCAGAGCAAAGCAGAGCAGCATCCTGCTCTAAAGACCACAAAGGCCACGAGTTTCCCCCCTGACTGGATGAAATTTACGAAGTTTAACAGACCCAGTCACGCTCACCTGAAAGGCGAGAGAACAAATATCAGACTGTCAGGAGGGACCTGTGGAGGACCGGAGGTTGCAGGAAAGACCTGACCTGGACACAAAACTGTCTGTTTGCTTCATGCATTTTTGATATTATCTTCACTCAGAGGAAGAAATCAAAAATCATGTGAGCCTGTTCCTCAGACATCTCACAGACCCAGTTAAAAACCAAAAAAGAAAAATCCAGAGGAAACCTGATGATTCAAAACTTAATCTTCACCTGTCTAAAATTCTGTGCTTCCGAAAAGGTGGGATTCAGAATGAGGAGTTTTAGAGAATAAAATGGACCTCTGTTGTAATATGCAGATAGAAGGAAAACACACACACACACACACACACACACACACACACACGCAGACATGAGTCAGTGTTTGTGTAGGAGAGAGAGGGCTATTAGACAGTCAGACCTCGAAATAGAAATCCTTTAAGAGTAAAATGAGCGAGCATCTCATGACTGCACACACACACACACACACACACACACACACACACACACACACACACACACACACACACACACACACTAGAGAGAGGGGAGCAGGCGTGAGAAAATGTCATCCTCGCGGAGAGATCCGGCGTTGGGACCCAGGGGAAACACGATGAGCCGACGGAATTGAAGCTCAGTCAAGCTCGCGGACAGCAGAGGAAGGTTTTTAGGAAATTGACCGTCTTTTTCTTTTCAAAATAAAACCTCAGTGGGTGAACTGAAAAAAGAAAACTGAGAAGAGGAGGGAAAAAGAGAAGATCCACGGAGCTTAAAAAGTTCTCACGATCGTTTTTTTTATAGTCACTTTTGATCGAATAAGGTCCTGCTGCACAAAGAGGACTAACAAAACCTTAGATGGCTTTACAGGGAGTTTTTAGTTATCAATAGAATAGCTCCACAGCTCCTTAATTTCACCTGTGCTACAACCCCTAATCCACCAGAGCAAAGTCAGTCTCCATCCCTGAAAACGGACGTTTGGAAATAGAATAGA